ACATTCCTCCATTGTGGGCGGAATTGCAAACTGGATATTAGTCTTGCTGTTCCTCAGAAAATTGGAAATAGTTCTACCTGAAGATTCACCTACACCACTTCTGGGCATATACTCAAAAGATGGTCAACCATATCACAAGGACACATGTTCCTCTATGTTCATAGCAGCCTTATTTAAATAGCCAGAAGCTGGAAACAATGCAGATGTCCCTCCACAGAGGAATGGATACAGAAAATGTGGTACATTTACTCAGTGGAGTACTACTCTGCTATTAAAAATAAGGACACTATAAAATTCATAGCCAAATGGATGGAACTAGAAAATATCATACTGAGTGGTGTGACTCAGACCCTAAAAGGTGTACATGGTATATACTCACTGATAAGTGGATATTAGGCAAGAATTTCAGAATACCCATGATAAAACTTACAGACCATATAGAAACTTAACAAGAATGATGGCCTAAGAGGGGCTTTAATCCTACTTAGAATGAAGAGCAGAGTAATCATGGGAGGCAGAGGGAGGGAGAGACCTTTTTCGGAGAGAAGAAGTGGAGGGGAAAATGGGAGCAGAATTAGATATGAGTGAGACAGGAAAGAAGTCCAAAGGGTCAGGAGAATGAATAGAAATATGAAGCAGTGTGCATTACGGTCGGGGACTGAGGAATTCTCTAGAATGTCCCAGATACCAGAGACATTGATTGAATGGGGATTGAGTGGGGAGATAGAACTTCAAGAGACCACCTCCAGTAGAGAGACACGGCCCTCAGTTGAGGGATGGGGCTATTCACCCATTTCAAAATGTTTGATCCAGAATTTTTGCTGTCTAAAGAAAATGCAGGAACAAAATTGGAGCAGAGACTTAAGGTAACACCATCCAGAGACCGCCCCAACTTGGGATCCATCCCATGCACAGGAACCAATCCCTGACATTATTGCTGATTCCAAGATATGCTTGCAAAGAGGAACTTGGCATTGCTGTTCTTTCAGAGGCTCTACCAGCACTTGACTGAGACAGATGCAGATATAGTCAAACATTGGACTTTGCCCAGGGACCGCTGTGGAAGAGTTAGGGGAAGGACTGAAGGAGCTGAAAGGGATTGCAACCCCATAAAAAGAACAACAGTATCAACTCACTAGACCTCTCAGAACTCCCAGGGACCAAGCCACCAACCAAAGTGCATACATGGGCTGGTTAGTGGTCCCTACTACATATAAGAAAAGGACTGTTTGGCCTGGGCTTAGTGGGAGGGAAAGAACTTGGTCCTTTGATGCCCCAGCGAAGGAGGATGCTAAGGGGTGAGAGTAGATGGGTGTATAGATGAGCACCCTTTCAGATGTGAAGGGGAGGAGTACTGGTGTGGGGAGCTCATGGAGGAGGGACCAGAAAGGGGAACAACATTTGAAATGTAAATAAATAAAGTAATTATTAAAAAAGAAAAGAAAGTAAAACAAGAGTAAAAATGTCTAAAAATGTCATAAGAAATCCCTACAATACACACACACACACACACACACACACACACACACACACTCACACAAACACACACACACACACACATCTATTTATTTAATGAAATGTCTTAATCTGTGCTGAAAATACTCACTCTATGAGTCAAAGGTCATCCAATATAAACAGCAGTACCAGACAAGAGACTCCCCCTCTTGAGTTGTTTATATTACAAGCTTATTGGGTAGAGAAAAATATTATCAGAATGAAGTTTATATGCTGTGCTGAACAGGCATGAGAAATAAATAAGAAAAAACCTCCATGCAAACTGAGCAGGATATAAGTCTCTGAGGTTGCAAGATGATGAATTAGAGACATTAGTAGTGTTTATTGAACTATGCATGAAATTTATATAGTTCCTATTATGAAAGGAAGCTCATGAGCAGCACACATATTTAACTAACATGTAAGAGTAATTTATTAGAACAGTGGTGGAAACATGAAAGTCTACTTTCTACATAATTACTGTTTCAAGTAATACTCATCCTCTCCTTAATTTAGCTGAAATCATGACATTTAATAGAAAGAAATGAGCTTGGTACTCTGATAGCATGGACATCAGGTTTCAACAAAACTTATAGTCTACTTTGCTTCTTAAAAACTTAATTTTGTATTGTGAGGAAGTACAGAGTATGTGTTTTTAACCTGGTGTTTCTAATATTTTGGAATGAATAAACATTGGTTTGGGTAAATGTCCTGAGCATTATATTATCTTCCTCACTCTGAAGGTCCCACCTCAAAATAGACTTCAGACAGTGTCCAGTCTCTTCCATGTCCAATGGGGAGGTATATTAGGCAAATAGTTTATCCTTGAGAAGATTAGAATCAAAGCTTATCTAACCTAACACATGGCCAGTTTGCTTCTCCTGAATTTCACTTCACATTATCATTTGTTTTCGACTCAGCTGGAACCATGCATGACCTATGTGTCTTTGGCCAACTGAAAATATGGCCTCTGAGGAAAATCATCTCACCAATGAAATGTATTGTATAGTTGCGCTACTTTGCAGGGTATTTTATTTTTCTATTATTACTTTTATGAATCTCATTTTATAAGTTTCACATTATAATTAACAAGTCAGCCTTCATATATCCCAGGAAATCACACTCACCACAGATGTACTTAACTAAAGTCAAACTATTCCATTAAATGTCAAAGACTTGTATTTGATCTGACACTCTCTGTGTCATAAATAAGACATTAAGCATATTCTTTTAACACTGTTCAATGTGGGTAGGTTAAACATAAAGTTTCTGATAATTCCAACATGAAATATGAACTGATTTAAAAATTAGAGACACAGATGGAATGAAGGACTATTTCTCTTTCATTGTTTAAATTTTTTTAGAATTGTAATAAAAATTAAAACCATATGAAAATTACTAATGACACCCATAGCCTTTGGAGGGAGAACAGAACGAGGTTAAAGAAATCTAACACAGCTATTAAACAAACACTCCTTTCCTGGAGCAAAAATTAGGATTATATATATTGAAGAGCCAGAAAATATAATATAACTGACATATCTAGAACAGTAAAATTTTATTACTAGATTTCATTCAGCTACTAAGCAAACATTTATTATGATACACCTATCCAACTACTTTTATGAGTCTCCATATACACTGACATTTGTGTTTCCAAAAGGTAATTTAATATAACTTAGAATGATTATCTTAGAATAGATGACTGAACATAGACAAGGCAGTGACCACTTTGTCTGTCAGATCACAGTCATATAGTCCAATGCATGTTGGCAACTTAGGCATTGCTAAATACAGGTCCTACTTATAGCTCAATCCTGTTGACTAAGATACAACAAGATATAACAATAATGAAGAATATAGAAGTCCCTTAAAGTTTATCAGGAGTACTCTAATTTAAAGAGAGTATATAAACAGATGTCATACTGTGAGTAATGGTTACTAGTAACTGATATTGTAGAATGGCACAGAGCCATTGAATTTGAGAAAGTCTAAGTTGAGGATGAAACTGAGAATTAGAAGTGTGTAAGACAGCTCAGGAGGTAAGTGCTTTGTAGCCAAGCTTGGTTATCTCAATTCCATCCCCAAGGCTCACATGATGGAGGGAGAGAACTGACTCCTGTTAATTGTTCTGAGACCTCCATAAAAACACACATGCATATACACATACACATACACATACACATACACATACACATATACAAACAAACACATACACATATACATACATACACACAGCCTAAATAGGCATCAAGAAGAAAAAAAATATATTAATGTTATATTTGATATTCTCTTAGACTACTGAAGTATCATTAACTGCAACAAATCCATCTGTTTACAATAGATACAGGTACTCATGTCAAGAATATAGCATACTATTCCTAATTTTTATTATTCACATTGATGTATACAGTTATTTGGGATCTATAGACTTAGTAACTAAGTTTTATTTGTATACATTAATACACATTTTAAATTTTATTCCAGGGCTATATGGTACATCCCTGTAAAGCCAGCATTTTTTAAGACTTAAGCAGGAGTATTTTGAGTTGGGCTAATTTGGGCTATATACAGAAAGCCAATCTTAACGATTAGAAAAAGCAAAGGAAAGGTGGATTCCAAGAGATTGTACACGCTTCTTGGTTTATCATGGTGTAATATTCTGACAAACATATTTTAAGCAGAAAATACTGAAAATAGATTTAAAGGAAACAGTGTAGCTTAGCAAGGTAGTAAGTATGCCAAGAGAGCATTGGCTGTTTGGTTTCCTCTGCCATATGTGGGCTGGAGCTGTTTTCTCGCTGCCAGTGATGTTCAACATCCTGAGAGACTGCCATCCTCACATCAGTAAGCCAGAAACATATAAAGATCCAAAGTATGATTTCTAGTGAGCAAATATCAACTCTGAACTATAATAGAATGAGCCTCAGTGAATCCATCTGCCATTAGACTCAAGAGCAACATCACAAAAATAAGATGAAAGTTAGCCATAAAACTCTTCCAATAAGGGAAAAAATATAGTCTAGGTAAATATGAGGGACCTCAAAATCAAATGAAGCAGCTTACCTACAAGATCTGATAAAATCTCTTAAAGGAAAATGGCAAATGCTGAGTTCTGTGAGTTTTAAGAGTACGGTGGGGTGGGAAGTAGATCTCCTCTTTTTTTAAATGTAATAACCTTGTAAAAGTGCAGGTTGAAAAGCATTTTCACTTATTATATTCTGATACAAACATTTGTTTCCAAACCTTAGTTAACATCATTAAAGTATTTTCCAACAGTTTGCAATTGAAATCACAAAGTAGTTTACAAAAAATTATCTAGTAATTCTTCTAAATCACTGAGAAACAAAGAGCTGAAATTCACCACATACTGAGACACAAAGGCAGCTTAGATACAAAGAGAAAATACTTCAAATACTTCTATGTTTTTAACGAAGTCTGCAGTAGAGGTCAAGAAAAATTAAGCAAAGCAAGAACAAGTAACAATTATAGAAATCAGCACTTACCCATATTTTGCAAAATTTGCCCAAATTTTCATTATGGACCGACTAAAAATCTCCTCAACTTTCATATAATTAACTCTTCTTTCCAGAGGTAAACCAAACACAAATTCAATTTCATAGCCATGCATTACTCCCATCCATTCTGGCCAAGGTAGTTGGGAAGATCGGTGTTCGAAATAGTAGAAAAAAGCATTATTTTCAAGCTCTGCAAATTTCTTGGTAAACTCCAATGCAGGGCATATGATGTTGTAATCTCCAATAATATCATCCAAAGCTTCACGGTAGACTTCTGGTGCCTGGTCACCTAACCAGTCCACGTAGAAGAAAAGGATTGCTTCCTTCCCTAATCCGCTCACTCCAGAGAAATACACATTTAAACCTTCTTGAAATTCCCTCCGTGTGATAAGACTATCATTGTCTTTGCTGAAACCCGGAGCACCATACACAAGGAAAGATGACCCTTCATCTTTGTTAACACCCACTAAGATCTGAGCTGTTTTCACTTTTCCGAGTTGGAGTAGTGTGTGGGGCATATCAGTGAGAAAATCACCATCCACTGTTGGCCCAAAATTTACCGATGCGATGGAATCAGAGGGGCGAACGGACTTTTCATTCACAAGAATTTCCTGGGGATCTTTACTCCGAAGGCATTTAATCATCTCCATCTCATTCTCTTTTGAACAACCAGTAAATTTAGCTAAGGCCAAGGTTCTGTTTCTGGCTTCCTCTGGATACTTCACTACCCAGGGGGCATTAGAGGAGCCACTTTCCAGAATGGCTCTGGTAAACAAAGGATAACTTTGGGGACAGAGCAGATGTAAGCTAACTGAAGCTGCCCCTGCACTTTCTCCAAAAATCGTTATACTTTTAGGATTCCCTCCAAAAGCAGCTATATTTCTTTGGATCCACTTAAGTGCCAACTGTTGATCAAATAAACCCATGTTTCCTGGAGCCTCAGGATTTCCCGGAAGAGCTAGAAATCCTAGGGCACCTACCCTATAGTTCATTGAAACTACAATAACTTTTTCAACATGAGCTAGAAACTTCCCGTCGTAAATAGGTAGAGAGGAGGTCCCAGTTTGAAAGCCACCACCATAGATCCATACCATGACTGTGGCGTTTTTGGGCTTAGGTACTGGAATCCAAACATTCAGATACAAGCAGTCTTCACTGAGGTTCGTGTTCGGATTCCACATTTCTGATCCCTGAAAGCCTGGGAAGGCGTCATCTATGTTCTGATAACAAGAATTTGCATATTTAGTGGCATTATGGATGTCAGGCCATTTGTTTAAGGGTTGCGGCTTTTTGAATCTTAGGCTACCCAGAGGAGGCTGAGCATAGGGGATACCGAGAAAGCCAGTCACTCTGCCACCAAGAACGGGCATGCTCAGCCCTCGGACCCTTCCAGTCTTGGTTGTAATTATGAAGTCTTCTTCAGTGTGTGACTTCCCAAAAGACATGCAGAGCAGCAGAATCCTTAGGAGGAAGTGGATCTGTGTGACTGTGGTATGCTGAGTCTGCATGTTGATTTCTAAACAAAAAGTAAGCAACAAAATTTTAAACAGCTTTGTACTTGCTGTTATATATCATGTTCAATGATGATAATCACTAAACTCTTTACTCTAAATTTATGACAAATAATAAATATGTTACCAAGCCAAGGGTGTGTTTAAAATCTAAAAAGTAAGCAGAAATATTTCCACGTGGAAGAGAAACACAAAAAAAATATAAGTGATCTTGTCTTTGAAATACCATGTTTAAGATTATGTATGAAGTTTTAGCACAGTAAAAAGATATTTTTGTCCCAAGTACATATGATATCATGCACTGTACATAGCCACATCAAGTATGAAATTAGCTAGGTGTAGACATGTTAGCAATGATTCCAATGTGACTGTAGGAGAAAACGCAAGTATATGTGTTGTCTGAAATATCATGGCTGGATGATAGATACAGAACTCTAAAGTCACTTAAGAACATTGAAGAATCTAGAAGCATTGATCATTTGCCATTCTTCTCTGTCCCAAGGTTCTTTTCATATTCCTCCTTTAAGAAAATGATTATACTTTTCTTCTATATATTCTTAGTTTATTCTTAAAAGGGAACAAAGAAAAGAAACCCATAGAATGTTACATAAAAAACTAAGTAATTTCTATTAATTTATAAATATGAATACTATCAAGCCAGCTGTCACTATAAAAGGATATTATTAAAACATGGAATACTGAGATGTACTATTAATAGGTTTCAGGGAAGTTCTCTATACTTTATTAGATAAAGATTATTTTTATCTGCTTGAATCACAAGCCCTTGGTGAGAAATCTAGCTGATACATGGATAAAAATATTGGTTAAGAAGAAATTTTTACAAGACTAACAATAATTAATTTGTAATCTGATTAAACCACATGTAAGTAGTTAAATATGTTAGCAGAGTCATAGGTACTCATGTATTTGCAATGTACAAAATCACTGAAATCAGAGGACCAAAGCTGAGAAATTATTGGGATATGTAGAAGGGAGTAAGGTAATCTTTGTAATGACATGCATTTGATATTTTACTGTAGACAATATGTAAGTTCATATAGAGGCTCTTTTGAGTGGTCACAGGTTTATTAAAATTCTTAAAAAAGACATGATTTTTTGGAAATAATTTTCAAACTTTACATGACAAAAAGGAATATAAATATATAATGCAAATATCATTTAAAAGGATCAATACTTTGTATAAAGTTGCAAAAACATAATTAAAATATTTAATAGCAAGCACTGGCTTGCATCCATATAACAATGTTCAGAAATGACAAATGCACAGGCCTTCTGTTACTTGTTCAAGTGCTCAAATTTTAATTCCAATCTGCTTGTTCAGGAAAATAATGCTACCAGCAGTGACCACTTGCTTTGGATGTCTGTATGTATAATACATTTTGTTTTGGAAAATCATGAAAAAGGAATAGACACATAACCTATGTTCCCTGATCAGGAAGAATATTGTTTTAATTTACTTATGTTTATGGTAATTGCGGAGGGAGACACATGTCACTGCATAAGTTGAAGATCAGAGAACAACACAAAATTATATCTCTTTTCCAACCTTTCCCACCAAGACCATTTCACACTCTTTATACAAAGAAGATGCTGATCTTAAATCAGTATCATTTACCCCTGCTCACAAAATATCTATTGATTAAATCTTAACATATATGTAAATAAAATATAATGTACCTTTATTTCCAAATCCCATAGTTAATGACATCTCTGCATAATTTTATCAATGTCTATGTTTACCCAAAATAGACTTGTTTTATGCAAATAAGTTTATGTATACATTGATTTCTATGGTATTCATTTAGGTTTTACAATCAAGTCACAGTTTTTTTTTTAATGTCTTCTATTTTGATAAAATTAGGTATGTGCTAAGATCTATTAAATATATTATTAGAGCATGCTTTTATGTTATAATAATTTCAGTATTATACTCACAATGAGTATAATTTGGATGTATTTATTTTTAAGTATTATACTCACAATGAGTGTAATTTGTATGTAATAACAAAACTAAATGTAATAATAATATCAAGGTTCTGGTTACCTGACATTTACTAAGGGAATTTCTATTTTGGCCAGGAGTTGTGGATTGCTGTTTTTCACATTTGTTTTTGTTGTTATTGTTGTTGTTTTGTTGTTCATTTTATCCTGGTGATTACAAAACCTTTTAAACAAGTAGAAAAGAATAACTCATGTGGAATTTCTTTTCCTGTCTTTGAAAATCAGTGTCTAAGTACATTTCAATAAACTGACCTAGGACCCTCGGTTCCTCAACTTTCTGTCTTTCTTAGCCCACTCAAAGATAATCTGGGTTGATCTCTCGTTTTTTACTTAAATATTATCTTACTTATACTTTTTTAAAAGTGGAATTGCTAGTAATTTTAATTACTAGTAATTTTTGATAATTTAAAACTTCTGTTTAGAGCATGGGAATGTGCCACACTTGCTTGAGTGCTTGTGCATCATGCTGGACCTGAGTTCAGATTCCCAGCAACTTCATAAAAAGAGCCAGGTGTTGTGGTGTCCCTCTGTGACACAGGTTCAATAAAGGTGACAGAGACAGGAGGAGATTCCCAATGGCTTAGTGGCCTGTCTGTCAAGCAGAATTTGTTAGCCTTGGGTGCCTGAGAGAACTTCTCTGAAAGAAAAGTGGAAAGCCATAAAAAAAGACACTTGATATCACCCTCTGACCTTCACACACCATGTGGGCATACCTTAGCAAACATGTAAACACACGAACATACTGTACATGAGCACACCAACATGTGCACAACCGGACATACACACAAACATTTCTTCAACAGTTTCTTGTAAGGTAAGCATAACTACTTCTCTCCTGTATTTGCTGGGAGTATAGTTAACAACAATGGTAATTTTATAATATCCTGTAGCAGCTATGATCATGCCTAAAGAGTCTCAGTGTTTCTACATGACCGATAATTATATGTTTTCTTCTGTGATTTAATATCTATTTTGGAATTTCCAGAGCACTGTTAACATGAGTAAGAATCACGTTCTCAATAATGACACATATAAGCTTCTCTTGTACACAAGGTAAAATGTAACATTAGAAACAGCCATCACTAACATTCATATATTTAAAGATGGTAATACAGTTCCTCCTTGCATGCTACCTGCTGAGAAGGTTTATTCTCCATATTGATGAATCTGGAGTGTTAAATGAAAAGATGCCAATGTTCCCATATTCAATACAGTCTGAATTGGTTATATATAAACTACCATTATTCCATTCTTTACATCATCTGATATTTTCCTATTCTCCAATTTTCTGTCAAAGACATATTTAATACATATTTATCACATAGTTAAAAATCAAAACAGAAATAAAGAGATTTCAAATTGAAAGTTTTTAATTGTAATATAAAAAATATAAACGTTTCTTGCCTCTTGTATATTCTAGTGCAACTGGTTAACTGCTAAAAAATAAAATATTAAACACAGAGCCACAAAATTATCATTAAAAAATGAGTCAAATTTTCATACTGAATATAGCTATCTTAAGATAGATAAGCTCATTCCTTGAAGTAGTAGTTAATATTTCTAACAGATTGAGAGTTTTTATTCATACATCAACAGAAAGTAAGTTCTAGAAGTAAAAACATTAACCACCAAAAGGGAAATAGGATAAAAAAATTCAAATTTAACAAATGTTGATTGATATCAAATTTTACTTATAGTATCATATATTCCTGTTTTTAAAATATTACTAATATCTTTGGATCTTATTTGGAAATGGATATTTGTAAAACATGTTGGTAAAGTGTTATCAAGATAGTACTGGAAGGGTCTAGAAGCAGCACTGGAATGCTATTTGACTGAAACAGTGAAGCCTCTTTACCCAACCAAATTCTGTTCTATTTCATGCTAACTGAAGAAACTTGAGGTAATCTGTTAATGAATGGACAATATTCTGGTCTTCCACAGTGGTCTGAATGTCTGATAAGATGATGAAGCAGTTCAGGATAATAGATTTGTTCTTAGAACCTGTGGTCTATTCTTGACCAGAATCACAATGGATACTCACAAGATCATATTAGTAACCTGAACATTAAATTATTAGATCTGTTAGGGTTTTTTGAAGATGAATTTTATCTGTTATTGTTATATTTCTCTGGCTGTAATTGGCTGGCAGAAATGAAGAGGTTCTAAAGATGATACTTGGTTCTTTTAGTCTGACTATCATATTCTCAAAATAATGGCTCCCATAGAGATGGGAATTTCCCCAGAAAACACATGATGCAAGAAGAAAGCAACATTAACCAGAAGAAAATTTATATCCTTGAAGGAGTTCTAACAACCTGTGGGACCACCTTAAAAGATGAGGCTGAAGACAATGATGGGTGTAGACAATGATGGGTCAACACTGGGTGGGACCATACCTTGATCAAGCTGCTTGAATGAGCACATTCTTAGGCCACTATTTAAATTTTAACCTCGCTTCAGGACTCTGAAGATGAACAATGGGAGAAAAAGCTTTGTCACTCTTCCCAGCATATCCACATAGAATACATCTCCCTTTTCTATCTTCCACTATTAGTTTAGCTCTTTAAATAGATTTAATAAGGACCTATGTGGCCAAACCGGGTTTAGGCCAAAGGCAGTGACCTCCAGATTTTATAAGACAGTCAGTTTCAGTAAGAATAAACAGATGATGGATAAACATCAAAACAAATCAATGATGAAATTTAAAGTGCATTATCAATTGTGACCAAGAAATCAAGTCAAAGACTAAATTTATACAGGAGAATAAATTCATATACCTGTAAAGTTTTCTTTGCTTACTTTTAATAAAAATATAATAGATTTCTTCTTATAATTCAAGACGCAGGATATTGTATATCAACAAAAATAACTCTCTAAAGGAACAAAGCATGTATTTTTAAATTTAGCTAGACATTTATTATTATCTGAAGGTAATGGTATTTTCTTGACAAAACCCCAGACTTACAATTCAAATCATTAAGTTACCTTTAAAAGCCTGCTGTCTGCAAACAACATGACTTTTATCAAGGTGAACTGTAGTCATATTTATTGTAAATATTCTATAGTCTACATTAAGGAGGCATTGCACCTGCTCGCTGGAACACACTCCTTCAGATTCAGAATACCTGCTTAGGAAAAAAATGTATAACACATAGAAACCTAATAAAATGATTTTGTTTGTGTTTCAATTTTCTTTTGGTCCTATAAATTTTATCGTCAATGACTGAACTGAGTCTGCTGCCATAAAAAAAAAAAAAAGATAGATTTCCAGGATTCTAGGATGAGCTAAAACTGTCGATTTTTATACTATTCCTATAAAAATAATGGTAGCATAAGATACTTTAGTCTAGCTTGAACACTCAAAGTTTGCCAATAATGGATGAGGAAGTATTAGTAGATTAAAGAATATATTGTCTTGGGCGTAGAAGGAGCTTTTGATTTCTGCTTGCCAGCTGATGTTGTGAAAGTTGCAGGGGACAAAGTGCTGTTCGGTAAAAGTGCCCTGTTATGTAATAAGAGAAAAATTAATCTGCGATATTACAAAAGAGAAGATATTGAAAACTGTCAAATGTATCCAAACAAGTACTTCTGTTAAGAGGTTGGTTAACTTCTGCATTAAAGGGTAACGTAGCCTAAAATAAGTCTCCGTAGAAAGGGAATAAACAAACAAACAAACAAACAAGAAAGAGACTCCACAGGTGCTGCGCCCATTCGGTCACCGTATACTAAATTCACTGTGTCCTCAAGAGTGAAAGGGATTGAATGTGTGTTTCTGGAATAAGGGAAAGCTCAATGTAGTGCCTTCTTGCCTGACTGACTCTTCTGTCCTATTCTCTGGTCAGGGACTAGTCTCAAGGGAGCACCACAGGGCTCCACAAACACGTGGGGAAAAATAAATCTCCTGTCCTTCTTGTCCCGATCTGCGCTAGAACCTCAGCACAAGATCTGTAAAATCAGAGCAACTCACCGGAATCGTTGCAGAAAAGGATGAGGAAGTTTGCAAAGTGACAATCTTGTAATGATTTGTAGAAAGGCGGGATGCAGCTGCCGCCCCGCCCGTGAATTGCAGGGCTCTGACATTTCAGTCAACTCTTCCTGACAAAGCTCGCGAGAGCTGGCAGCAGCAGCAACTTGATCTGGCTCTGGCCAGGCTTCCCAGGCTGACATCTGCTCCTGCAAATGCAGGAGTGACTCCTTCAGAGAGGGCTGCGGGTCTTCTTCTTCCAACTCAGGCAGGCTTCCAGGAGAGAAGCAGGGGCAGAGGGACACTTCAGTAATAGAAAATAAGCGAGTTAGTTTGCACTATCAGGACTTTAACTTTTGGTGTTTTGTTTTTGTTTGTTTTGTTTTCGTTGTTTATTGTGGGGCTTTTTTTTCTTTTAAGAATTTTACAGTACTAAACATTGTGCACAGTATTCTAAAGAAATGCTATTGGAATTGCTATAGGTGTACCTGCAATTCTGTGAAAATCATAAAGCATCGTAAAAAAATTTTAGGAAACAAAATAACCATGATATAAACTATGAAAATCAAAAGACTGCTTACACTAGCTGAATAATTGACTACCACCCCCCTTAAACCCTACACCCCAACTCTTATGTAAGTCCTAGATTGTTCACAGGTCCTGACAACTTCTCAAAAGTCACTACTGGTCATAGATATGAGGAACACCCACGATTTATTATACACGTCAAAAGTCCAAAGTTCTTCAGCAAATAGTTTAAAAGGAAATTTCTCCCCAGGCAGTAAGTGTTTATAAACATATATTTTTATTTTTCAAACGTATTTTGCTTTACATCTATATTTTTTGCAAAACAATAAAAAAAGAAATAAGTGACAACAACAAAAATAAAAAAAGCTAAAAACATTTAACGAACTTTTTAATGACTGACTTTCAATGTGGTTGCACTTTTAAATTTTTGTAAATGTCTGCTTTCACTACTTAAATCTCTCAGCTGAAAGCTTACTATAGATTTAACAGATTACCTAGATTTGTAGAAAGGCATGTTTTTGTTTTTAGTAGAAAGTAACATTTCAAACATGTGGATATAAGAACTGGTATTTTGATTCTGTCCAGTGCTCATGACTAATAATTTACATGTAATATATTATCCTAAGGAACATGAGTTTAGCATGATTAATTAAATTTCCAGGTGCTAAAATTTGATCTTCAAAATCTCAAAATCTTGCTATGTTACTAGCCCTACTAACTTTCGGGGGTTAAAATTTCAAATTATGTATTTTTATGTCATTTTATATCACATGCTTCCAAGATAAAAGACATTTTTATTAGCTGATTACCTTTATTCTGGAAAGTATTACTTGGTCAGTATTGATTAAATGCCAAACATTATAATCACAAGCATTTCTAATATCTAATAATATATAGCCATATTTTACAGTGTTTTGAAAAGAATTGTACCCGTATTTACAGCACAGTTATTTGGGTTGGCACTGGATGATCAACTAGTTTAGGTTGTTTCATTTTTTAAGATTCATTAATTTTTATTCTATGTATGCATATGTATGATTGTTTTGCATACTTGTTGCCATCACAGGCCTAACGAAGTTGCAGAATCCTCTAGAACTTTAGTTATAGATGGTGGTAAGGCATCTGCTAAGAACCACACCCAAGACCTACAAGTGTTGCTGACTGTTGAACTGTTTCTCTTGCCGCTAGAAGGAGTATCTTATAAGTCCCAAATGACAGCACTCAACACAACTCCACTTCATTGTTTTCTATAGAAGTTTAAAGTTAGACTTAAGTGCAAGCCGTGATCTTACTGAATAAATTTATCTGAATATTTTTGCATGCTGCTCATGTCTGCTACATACTGTATAAAATATGTAGCAGCTACAAAATAATAATGAAAAATAAGAAAATTATATACTAGAAGACTATAATTCATGTTTAAGATGAGTAGCAAACTATATTAGGGGATTATAAAACTGATATTTTTTCTTTTGTTGAGCATTTTTATCTCAGTGAAGCACTTGGGTTCAAGGCCCATTAGTTCATCATTTAGTTCATTTGTCTCTGGGTTTATCAGCTCTCCCACTTTGCTATACACTACTTTAATTCCTAAAAGAACTAAAAAAACATGTTAAAGCATGTCTTTCTGTGTTACTATCTTTCCCTTGTGGCTCAAAATGCAACAGGTAATTCGCTTCTGTGCTGTGATCTTTTTCCCATTTTCCCACTGCAATGGTGTTAGTCATGTGCCCTGAGCTTGTTGACTCAGGTGCCAAGCTTCAAGCTATTGCCTCATAGACTTTTGTTTTGTCTGCACCATGGCAAATGTTTTGTACTCGTTGGAAGTGGTTCTTGTGGAGTACCCAAGGACTCCTGACTCCTCATTCCTAATGCTCACATTGGTCTGCTCAATGTATATATTTTGGTAGCAAGTCACAGAACCACTCAAGTGATGTCTTAGGCGATTTCATGTACAAAAGTTTTCTGATCCTTACCTTTTATTGATATATTTTATTGTTCTGCATTTTTAATTACCTTACAAGGAACTATATCTAGTTATAGCATTTTTCAAATAATTCTTCCCTCTTGTTATTCTCTCCATCCCTTCTTTTTTTTCTTATTCATCCTTCATTTCTTAGCCAAGTAGCCTCATTTCTAATTTCAGGCTATATGTGACATTCTACCCTCTCCCCTTCTATTGCTCTTTAACAAGAACAATTTATTTTCCTTTGTAATTATAACAAAGAAAAACACCTCACATTTTTGCATTTTGCATATCAAAGTTCAGGAAAATCCCACTTCCCTATTTATAGTTATATAAAATGGTCAAAGAGTTTCTTGTAGCTTTCTTGATTCTTATTTATTTAATATTGTACACTATCAATTGAAATATTTTAATGGCTATCATGGCATGGGCATGCGTAAGTATTTTTATCTCTATAATGATGATACCAATGTGAGGAAAGAAGTAGTATTTCTGGGCTCAAGTGATTGTGGTAGTTTGAATAAAATGGTCTGAACGACTCATAGAGACTGGCAGTATTGGTAGGTGTGGCCTTGTTGGAGTAGGTTTGGGGTTGTTGAAGGAAGTCTGTCACTGGAGGGAAGGCTTTGAGGTCTTGGACGCTCAAGTCAAAACTACTATAATACCTTCTCTTTCTTCTGGTGGATCAAGATGTAGAATTCTGTGTTCCTTTTCTAGCTCCATGTCTGCCTCTATGTCACCATGCTTCCCTACCATGATGAAAATGGACTAAACTTCTGAAACTGTAAGCCAACCTCAATTAAAGACTTGCCTTGCTGCGGTCATAATGTTGATTCACAGAAGCAAAAACAACAACAACAACAACAAAGACAGTGATAAAACTCTCAGGGGTTAAACAAAACTGTGGGTTGGAACTTTAATATAAAAAGACAAAAAGGAAAATGACTATTATTTTATTATTTTCAAACCCTTTAAACATTCTCTGAATATCATAATTAATTTAAAACTCATACTAAAGAAGAGACAGGGAAATTAACAATCATCTTTAAATTAAGAACTGTTAATAATCTTATTGTCTACTTGACTAGTTGACAGAAGAATGTCAAAAAGGATTTATGTGACTTGCCTCAAGTCATAAACAATCAGTAGTTGCTTTCTCCTGTGCAAGGTGTCAGTAACAATAACAGGAATTTCTGTATACGGATATTTTGGTACAGCTTTTGTTTTGCATTTTTTGCTTTGGTATTTTCTATTGGTTAATTTTGTTATTTGACACTTACATATGTGATGTATTCTGAGTAGTCTCCCTACCCAATCCTTTATAATCTTCACCTCCCATTCCTGTCAAAAATCCCCTAACAAATGCACACACAGACATACAGACATACAGACACACACACACACAAACACACACCCACACCCACACACACCCACACACACACACCACTCGACATCTTTAGACATTTCTTTCCTAAATTCATGACATTTGACTTTGGTTTTTGATTGGTTTGTTTTTTGTGCCTGGATTATTTCACTCAATAGCAGTTTCTGTGACTGGATTATTTCATTCTATATCAGTTTTTCTACTTCAGTTTTCCTTCACATTCTATTAATTCATTATATTGATAGTTGAAAAAATCAATCTATGCATACAACCCTAAGGTTCCAGTTTTTGCTTCCTCCCTTGTTCACACCAAGAGGGGAAGTAAAGAGTCTAGTTGAGTTCTGAGATTCATGTGTTCCCTTAGGGTGTCCAGATCCAGAATCACATCAGGCAAAAAGGGGTGAAGTATTCTGGAACAAGTTGTCCAGTAGGATTCAGGTCCAGCAATGAATACTGAGGATGAGGAGGTTTCCTTCAAAGATCTCAGTTTTACAGCTCTTAATGCTTTAATGTTACAGATCTTTTGGAGGAAGTTCAATGTAGCAACTCTCTCAAATAGTATTCAATACAATAGTCTGTATGCATACACTTTAATTAGGGTGAACAGGACTTTAAATTGTGGAATCTGGATGGGGGTTCTTAGGGTGGTTTCCTTAGTTGAGGTTTAACTTTCTGGGGATAGTTCATTTGCGTGGAAATTGAACCTGTAATCTTGCCAAGAATTATGAGACATTCCTCAGGTAGAGTGTGGGTGTTGAGCTTCCCCAGTTAAAGTAGAAAAGAGGAAGCCTGGCTGGAGAAGGGCTTCCTCAATTTTGTACCAAGCTCAGGGGAGCTATCTATCTGGACATGGTAACTTCAACATTAATTAGTAGGGTTTCCCAACACCCCACATTTTCATCATTCAATTATTCATTGATGGACATCAGCTGTTTCCATTTCCCAGACCTTGTAAACAGGGCGGCAATGGACGTATATGAATGAATATCTCTGGAGTAGGAAATAGAGTCCTTTGAGTATATAGGTAGGAGTTGTACAGACAGGATATGGGTCATCCTTGTTCATTTTTAATATATATATTCAGAATTTAAATTAATGCATGTGTCTTGTCCAAAGTAGATTTTCAGAATTCTCCAATGACTCTGAAATAGGAATTTCAAACAGCTTTTGTAAAATAGGCAAATGTTTGTAGTCAGAATAAATCTCAATGAATCTCTGGA